AGAATGGCTGATGGTCGGATTCCAAAAGATCTCCTATATGGAGAATTAGTGCATGGACATCGCCCCAGAGGGAGACCACAGACGTGATACAAGGATATCTGCAAGCGGGATCTGAAGGCCTTGGAAATGGATCTCAACAGATGGGAAACCCTGACATCTGAGCGTTCAGCCTGGAGGCAGGCAGTGCATCATGGCCTCTCCCAGTTTGAAGAGACCCTTGTCCAGCAGGCCGAGGCAGAGAGGCAGTCATGAAAGCAGCAAAATCAGGGAGCTAGATGGAGTACAGATTGTATTTGTCTTCAGTGTGGAAAGGATTGTCACTCTCGATTTGGCCTTCTCAGCCACACTAGATGCTGTTCCAAGTCCTCCATGCAGAGCACAATACCATAGTCTCTTGAGAATGAAGCATGCCTAATCTAATGGAGCATTCCTGAATAAGGAACAGATTTAGTCTTTTCCCCAGTGAATTCCCCTAGTATACATGTGTAATTTCTCCAATATAAGTGAGGAGGTGCTGTTGCAGGAAAAGGTAAATTACTGTAAGTCTCTTTTGGGTGAGAGTGAGAGTGAGAGAAGTATCTAACACACATGCATACGCAAACAGATGCCCCATTCCTTAACACTGTCTATCCATGACTTGAATCCTGCAGATTACAGTGGTGCCTCGCTTGACGAGGATAATCCGTTCCAGCGAAATTGCTGTAGAGCAAAATCCTCGTCAAGCAAAATTTAAAAAGCCCATTGAAACGCATTGAAAAACCGCTCCAGCAAAGATCCTTCATAGGGCGGCCATTTTCTGATACCTGTGCAGTGAAAAATCCATCCTAAAGCACAGCGGGGAGCCATTTTGCCCAGCGGGCAGCCATTTTGAAACCCGACGATCAGCTGTTTTGATCATCATAATGCAAAGAATCGGTTCCCGAAGCAGGGAACCAATTGTCGGGAAGCGAATTTTGCCCATTAAAACATCATTTTGTGATCGCAAAAGCGATCGCAAAAACCTCATCGTCAAGTGGATTCGTCATTTAACAAGGTAATCGTTAAGCGAGGCACCACTGTATGTTGAAGTTGACCTCCCAAAAAAACCCCACACACATACAAAGAGAGCTCAATGTCTGAGCCCATACTCCATCTACCTCTCAGTAGTCACAATGATTGATTGATTGATTGACTGACTGACTGATTGATTGAATGATCATTACAAGCTCAATATTATGCCTGTCAATCAGAATGATGCCCAGGGGGACTTGCAGCAGTCTATATAATGCAAATCAGAGCTGTTAACTTGTCTCAGAGGCCAGAGTGGGGAGCTAAGACATTGCTGGGGGAATGCAATGTCTTTGTCTCTCCCCAAATCCAAACCCAGGTCCCTTGTACTTCTGCTTGTCAAAAGGTCTGCAGAGCTATGGAGAAATAATCTCTCTACCCCGCTAACACACAATCCCTCAAAAGTGGGGATTTCCCCCCACTCCCAGATAGGAAGGAATGTGGCTTCTGCTGTGTCCTGTTTTCGAGCCTCTACCTGCCATGGCCCCCAACAAGCTCAGTGCCTACCTCTCACCCATCAGGAGAAGGATTTTTCTTTAACAATTGCTTACTTGCCATCTCATTTTGCATGAGAGGATTGATTTATGTTAACATTGTAACATATTGTAACATATCCCCAATCTCTGTGCTCAAGAGTCCGTATCATGCTCGAAAGATGTGTAAATGATACCCACTGAAAAGAATAGAGCTTCAGTGGGGCTTTTGTTCAGTGTCACTAAATCTGCATCCCACCAAGATACAAAAGCATGCAGCTGACCTAGTGGAAGCCCTCCCATTATCTGAAAGTGCTACACAGAATCAGTGCACCTTGCTGATGAATGGGGTGGTCTCTGATGTGAACAAGAGGAAAATGAGTAACCTGGTTGCATGCTTTTAAATCTGGATCCAAGCTACTCTGACTTCGACTTAGTATATGCTGTGGAGGGAATACACTGAAATGTAAATTCAAAAACCTGTGTTTCATAATGACCAACTTACACATTACCAAACTGATACACAGCAGAGCTGTCAGCCATGTTGTGTTGTCAGGTGGAAAAATTTTCACACCCTATGTCTCCTTCTCAGTCAGTCATAAGTACAGGTACTAAAGACAAACGGTGGCAAATTCCATGTGCCCACCCTTTAGGGAGACAGAATGTTCAGCTAGTTGTTCCGAAACAGATTCTCCTTTGCTTGAAATGGAACCAATAAGCAGTGCAGAAAGTGAGTGAAGCTGACGAATGCTACAGTTACACCACAGTAAAAGAAAGTTAAACTATGGATATATCAAGTACAGCTCTCTTTACTTATGCATCCTAAAAATAGTATGTTGTTTCAGGTGTAGTCATTTTTCTTTTGTTAAATATAAGGGAGATATGTGGTAGTGTCACATTGTAATAAACGTCCCGGTAAAACAGAGTTTTGAATGTTCTTGAATATAACAGTTAAATGATATTATGTGGTTAATTTAATCCAAAGCAGATACTTTAGTTCAGCTATTTTGTATCTATTGGGAAAACATTTGATATATTTATGCTGTGTACTGTGTATACTGTAGGCATCCTTCAGAGACTATGGTAATGTGCTAAATTGAAATGGATTACATTTTTCATTTTTCTGTTCACTAAATATGAACTACTTTGTGTGCTTCTTGAGGGAGAATACATGCTGAGGTATAAAAATGAGCCCAGCATGCTAAATCAGATAAAATTATTTAGATCATTGGAAATGTTCTGGAAAGTGTTCCTGTTCTACTTTTTCTGTAAAACCCACATTACAGGTGTACAGACACTTTCTTTTAGTTGGATTCCAGAAACTATGTTGTTAGTAAATAATATTGTTCCTTCCTTTTGGTGAATATTGCTCAGGTGATGGTTGTGTGAGACATAGGACCTGGTCACTTTCTGTAACAGCATGGGACCCATTCATTGAGAGACAGTTCCCATGCCCCTTAGTGGTATATATTGCAGCGTAACAAGATGGACATCCTTCAGCTCATTATAAAGAAACTAGTTAGAATGTTCAGGACAGCTCCTCATGATTATTTGTGCAATTCCACTAAAATCAATAAGAATGTGACTACTTGAACTGAAGTTCTTCTAGTAGTTCCATGCCAGTATTTCATGCTGTTTTGTAGATCCTTCCAGTAGATTTCTGTAGCAAACTTCTGGTACCTGCATATTTCCCAGTGATCCAATGGATTGTTGCTGTACTTTGCACCTAAGAATTTCAGGCCATCATATGACATACTGACAGGCAAAGCATTTGTGTCTTGTACAGGAAGCTGAGCTGGAACGCTTGGAGAGAGAATTTGCCATTCAGTCGCAGATCACAGAAGCTGCTCGCCGCCTAGCTAGCGACCCCAATGTCAGTAAGAAGCTGAAGAAACAAAGGAAAACCTCCTACCTTAATGCACTGAAGAAACTTCAGGAGATTGAAAATGCCATCAATGAGTATCGTATCAAATCTGGAAAGAAGCCAACACAACGAGCCTCCCTGATCATAGATGGTAAATAGGGGCAATATTTTATTATACTATTTTATTATACTTACCAGTGCACTCTGATGTGTTGGGGTGCACCAGTAAGTGTCAGTGGATTGCTCGAGAGCCAGTATAAGACAATGCTTCTTAAAGAACTGTGCATATATTAACAAATGTGTGCTTATGTACATTGGGTCAAAGAAATTAAAACAAGCTCAAGTTCGTACAAACTGTGGTAGAACCTGAACTGTCCAACACTGTCTAAGAAGCTAAATCTTAGGGTTTTGGTGGGTGAGCAGCTCAATGTGCACCAGTGAGAACCCGTCAGCTTAGGTCCTTTTAAGGAGAAAGGTGGAGTAAAAATATTTTAAATAAATAAAAAGGTGTGACTGTAAAGAAAAAGACGTTAAAACAAAACAACCAGACAGTCTGTGTGGTGCCATGCCTGTGTATAATTCTGTGATGCAGTCATTTTGGAATACTGTGTGTCCTCGTATCTCAGAAAGGAAAGTATAGAATTAGAAATGTGGAATGAAGCAACCAAAACACATGTAAGCAGTGTGTATATACAGTGGGGTCTCTACTTAAGAACTTAATCCGTATTGGAAGGTGGTTCTCAAGTTGAAAAGTTCTTATGTTGAATCTGCATTTCCCATAGGAATGCATTGAAAACCATTTAATCCGTATCTGCTCTTTTCCGTCCGTAGAAACTACAGTGGAACCTCTACTTAAGAACTTAATCGGTTTTGGAATGGTGTTCTTAAGTTGAAACGTTCTTAAGTTGAAGCAAAATTTCCCATAGGAATGGACTGAAAACCAATTAATCCGTTCTGGCTGTTTTTTTTGTTATGTAGAGGTGTGTTTGTACATTGAAGCATTAGTTCCCATAGGAACTAATGCAAAGCTGGTTAATACGTACTTTACCACTAGGGGGAGAATTTTTTTTTAACCTAAGATGACCTAAGGTTAAAAAAAGAGCAGGAAAGGTTTTTTTTCCTGTTCTTATCTTGGATTTTTGTTCTCAAGTAGAAGCAAAATTTAGCAAATGGAGCTGTTCTTAAGTTGGATTGTTCTTAAGTAGGGACGTTCTTAAGTAGAGACCCCACTGTACTGAGGTATAAGAGTTTATGACTAAGAAATTTATTTATTTGTTTGATTTTTATACCACTCATCTGGCTGCCAAGGCCACTTTGAGTGTTGTACAGCTAGGATAAAACAATAATATGACAACAAGGATAGTCGACAACAGCCAAACAAAATATAAATTACACTAAGTTTACTATTATCGTAATACAACAGGTCTTGTTTTATTATGCTGTTTTGAATGGATTTATAAACTTTTTTTTTAAAAAAAATTAATGACTGGATGGGAAAAAGTAAACGCATTCCAAGTTTTTTAATTAGGAGAAGGAGCACTGACTTGGGGACATGATAGAAGGCTTTGAAATCATGAGTAGTATGAGGAAAGTAGTTACAGAGGAACTTTTTTTTTTCCTCTTTCAACTACTAAAGCTGTAGCAGGTAGTCTGTTGCCCCTGAACAAGAATGTAGTCTTTTTTAAAATACCAGTTGCTAGAGGAGTGCCGTTGCTTGTAGGCACCCAGGAAGCATTGGGCTGGCTACTGCTGGAGGTGCAATGTGCTCTCTACAGTAGGGGACCACACGTGTTTCCCCCAGCTCCCTTACAAATGCAGTGAAAATGTGTGTCCCCACCTATATCCCCTTGGATCCTTCAGGGAGGCGGGGCAATTATTCTCTCTTAAGAGCACCCCAGGACCCAATGTACAACCGTATTTAACCATAATGTTAAAAACAGTAGGATAATGCATAATTTTTTTAAAAAGGTAGAATAGTGTAAGGGTGCTTTTTTCAGTTAAAAATGGGGGTGGGGTGTCACAGGAGCAACCTTCTAGGGATGGGCCTGTATGACTCCCAGACCTCTGGAGACTGCCTGCCCTCGCTGTACGGAAACTGATTCAACTGAGTTCTTCAACAGTGTGGTGGAGCTGGGGCTGCAAATGACAAGTTTTGCTATGCCTCTGAGGCTTCCCATTTCCTCTTGATTCAGCTGCATAATAGTGGGGCAGCTGGGGAGGGTGTTATAAAGAGCCCACCACCACCAGCAACAATATTGTGGTACAAGTCCCCCCATGTTCACTCCATTGTAATGCAGAGAATTTCTGGATATTTTGTGGTCGTGAATAGGAACTGAGATTCATTAAATATACTAAACACTTGACACTTAGTTGGTGAAGATCAGTAGAACTGGTTTATTGATTATTAACCCAGCTGCCTGCATTTTAGGGTTCTTCTTGGAGTATGAAGATGGGTGCACCTGCAGCTCAGGATTGCACCAGTGTTTTTGTTGATTTGTCCTGTGTAAATCATGCTGCACTTTAGTGTTGAACTACAGGGTGACATGGGTGCTTGCCCCGGCTCCTACTAACCTAGCAGTTCAAAATCATGCTAATGTGAGTAGATTAATAGGTACCACCTCGGTGGGAAGGTAACAGCATTCTGTATCTTTCCAGCCACGACCACAGAAAGTGTCTACAAACGCCAACTCTTTGGCTTACAACCGGGGATGAGCACCAGCCCCTAGAGTCAGACATGACTGGACTTAATTGTTAGGGGAAACCTTACAGGGTGACTGTGACCTTTTGTGTGTGTTTTCATTTCACAGATGGAAATATTGCCAGTGAGGATAGTTCCTTGTCAGATGCCCTTGTTCTGGAGGATGGTATGTAAAGGATTCTAACACATGGCATGTTATGAGAAAAAAAGCAAAAAGTAAGGCAGTGGTATAGCTAAATAATTTGGAGAAGTCCTGCCAAAGCTAAATGCTATCCCTGTTAGTTTTATAGGGAAGTATTTAAATGTAACATAATTTCTTCCCTTGATATCAGTGAAGTATGAATATCCTTAGCTTTGCAGGTATAGTAGGTTCCACATGCCTCCGAATATTCTTATTTACCTCCAGCTCATTCTCTAATTTTACCTGTGGCAGCTAGTTAACTCTAAGCTCCTTAGGGCACGAACCTCTCACAAGCATTGGTGACAACAGCTTTAAAATAATGTATCATTTGAGTGTTCCTGTGCTTTAGTTAGTTTGTTTTTTTAATTTCAGAAGATTCTCAGGTTACCAGCACAATATCCCCATTACAGTCACCTCACAAAGGACTCCCTCCACGCCCACCCTCGCATAATCGGCCACCCCCTCCTCAGTCACTGGAGGGACTTAGGCAGATGCACTATCACAGGAATGATTATGACAAGTCCCCCATCAAACCCAAGATGTGGAGTGAGTCGTCTCTGGATGAACCCTATGAGAAGGTCAAGAAACGTTCTTCACACAGCCATTCCAGGTAGTTCAAGAAAAGATGGCTCTTCTGTAGTGGCTTGTTTTGTGATGCTTATTTTAAAAAAGTGAAACAAAAGTTTTGCCTGCAGATTCCACAGATGTGCATTCAGGTAGAGGCTTGTGGTCTAAAAGATGTATATAGTTCCATATATGGACAGACATCCCCTCTCCAGCACTTCAGGTAGCTAGAGAGGTTGATTGTTTAAAAATAATAACAAATTGCAGATTGGTTCTTTGGCCTGTGAGAGCAGCTGTGAGGAACACATCTGACAACACTAGTTACCCATACATATGATTATTTTGATACATTGCACCAAGTTTTCTTGATGACAATTATCCCGTTATAGTTGCAGCTGCTTAAATAACATCATGGCGAGCTTTACAATCCATTTTTTCAGATATAGGAAGTACTGTGCCTAGAGCATCTTATTTGCTGCTATGAGCTTCTCAAGGACCAATATGTATATCTAACAAAGAATGTGAACATTTAGGCCTACATAAATAAGTGTTTCAGATGAACAGCAATAGCTCCCTGAGCACTACATTGCTGTTTTGTTTTACAGCACTCACAAACGGTTCCCTAGTACTGGAAGCTGTGCAGAAGGTGGAGGGAGCAACTCTTTACAAAATAGCCCCATACGGAATCTTCCCCACTGGAACTCGCAGTCCAGCATGCCGTCAACACCAGATCTACGGGTACGCAGTCCACATTATGTGCATTCCACTAGGTAAGCTCTTTCGCTCCAAAATGTCACCAGTTTGTCTCTCTGTTCCCCTTTGAAATACAAAAGCTTGTATTCTGTTCAGTTTTCTTGTCTCTGAAACTCCCAACTGAAGAGGCTGCAGCAGCAATGAGATAAAGTGATGGTCACCCAGTTGGGCCTCTTCTAACTTGAATTGTGCTCCGAGTCCTGAGCCTTGTTTAAATGAAAATAAAGAAACGTGTTTCTTAGCTAAATCCGCATTAAGATAAATTACAGTGGAGGCCATCTCTTCCTTCCCTCAAATGTTGAACACCATGAAGCAGCTCTGATTCCAGTACAAGCATCTTTGTATACGTTCAGCCAGATTTGCCAGTGACCAAGGAGCAAAAAACTATGTTTTCATATGTTGCTGATACAGGATGACCTTTGATCCAGATCATCAGGGTAAACTGTGAGGAACGCAATGGGATTTGTTGTCAAAACAAGGAAGAAATATCTGGACAGATGTTTTCTCTGGGTGAAGTTCACTAAAAAACAATGACAGTCTCTTAGCCATACTTTGCAGGATTGTTTCATTATTGAATTGTGGGTCAAGAAGCATATCTACTTCCCTCAGCTTCTGGAGGAAAAGACAAGACACAAAAATAATACATAAATTAAAGAATCTGATGACATTTTGAATTAAATTCCACATCTAATACTTCAGAGAGTGAGGAAGGTAGATATAACAAGTCCTTGATGCAGGTTGGAACATTTACAGATGCAGATAAAAGTTTGAAATGATTGGTGCTCCCTGTTCACACATTCCTGCATCTGTCTCTATTTCGGATACAGACTAGATAGTGCCAGACAAATTAAGTATTCTTCCATAAAGATTCAAGAATGGGGTGATTCCTGTTACTTGTGTCATGGTCCTACCATCCAAATATTAGTGGCTTTTACATGGAAACAAGAAGTGAGGTAACATTATCCCATCTCTTTAAAATCTCTATAGTAAGAATTACTTTTTATTGATCAGTTATGCAAACAATTCAGTGAAATTAATTAGAGCAATGCCTTGTCCCAACCTGGTCTCTGACAAATAAACTGAGGGGCAGCACATAGATGTAGTTGTATGGAAATATTTTTAAAAATATAAAATCTGCAACAAGGAGTTTCATCGTTTTTCTGTTGTTTTCACTGCAGTGTTTTTACTAGTCCTGTGTCTGACTGAGCATAGCACAAGCAATAAAATTATCAGTTTTCAATATCAGAGTTCATAGTTTAGATGTTATTTAGCTAGTCCTTCCACAACACAACTTTTTAGGTGGATCACATTACCATGTGGCAGTACACTATAGCTTTTAGAATGATCCTGCATAGAAAGCTACAACATTAATACTCTCCAACTAGTCCTTTAATTTCTTTGGATTATGAACCAGTTCTGCATTTTAAAAGTTTACACTCCCTGTGCTACAGCACTTCTGCTGTTGTTTCAACTTATATATCACCCCATAAATCTTAAAGCACTGAGTGGTTTACAATGTACACATTGCCAGTGAGCTGCACACTCATTTTACTAACCTTGGAAGAATGGAAGGCTGAGTTGACCTCGACCCAACAACCTGAGCATCTCAGGATTAAACTCAGTTTGTGAGCAGTCGTAACTGCAGTATTGCAGTTCAACCACTGTACTACAGAGCTGGTGGTCTTTAGGGGTAGAATCCTGTTCACTTGCAGAATCACATAATGTAAATTTCAAAATTATTTCTCCCTCTCTAGTAGGCTGTTTTCATGCACACAGGCAAGCACTGATGGTGAAATCAGTTGAACTCCCATCTGATTTTGCAAAAGGGAACATGCGAGAAAACTGAAATACTTCATCATAGTCCTTTACATGTTCATGATACCAAAATAAAATCTTGATCTAAGATAGCAGATGACAACTAGATTGGATGCAAACAGATTTTAGAGAAGCTCTTTCTTTACAGTACCTTCACCAGAATCCCCAGCTAGCGTGTCTTGTATCCATTCCAGAGAGGAGATTATGGAGGATGAAGTCCAAAGAAGATTTTTTTCCCAAATTCTGATCTACAGTGGCTTTGACTATTTTCTTCTTCATCCCCGTTACTTGTTTCTGCCACATCCCATGTCATTTTCTCCCCAGAAACAACATTTCAGGAGCTGCATATACAGGACAATAGTGCTGAGCTCAGTGGGACTGAAAGCTGCTTTTCAGTCCCCTAAAAAGGCTTGAGTGAAGATCAGCTGATGGTGTGCAAGCTAGATAGTGGATAAACCATGCTACCTACCTACTACAGCAACTTTAAATACAGTGGTGCCTCGCTTTATGATTGCTCCGCATTATGACAAAACCGCATTACGACGATCTGATTGCAATTGCGATCGCAAAATGATGGTCTGAATGGGTTTTTTTCGCTTTGCGATGATCGGTTCCCTGCTTCGGGAACCAATTCTTCGCAAAACGACGATTTTCCTCCAGCTGATCGGCGGTTTCAAAATGGCCACTGGGTAAATAAAATGGCTCCCCGCTGGGTTTTTGGACGGATTCCTTGCAAGACAGTCACCAAAAATGGCCGCCCTATGGAGGATCTTCGCTGGACGGTGAGTTTCCAGCCCATTGGAACGCATTGAAGGGGGTTCAATGCATTTCAGTGGGCTTTTTATTTTCATGTTACGATGTTTTCGTTCTACAGCGATTTCACTGGAACGAATTAACGTCGTAATGCGAGGCACCACTGTACCATTTAAAAAAACCTCAATCCCAAGTAGCAGTTGTTCATGGCATTCATTTAACTATCTCTCCTGTACAGTTGCTCAAGCTTGCATGATGGCTCATGACATTTTCTGTAACACTGGGCCTTTCCGTTTATTTAGCAGCTAACAGAGTTAAGGTGCAGTTAGAATATTTTCTAAAGACCTATCCATCTGCCATTCATCATGTGCCTCACTAGGGTTTTCACATGGCTATATAATGATGTACGAAGAAGGCAGATTCTATTACCACTGGGGAAAAAATAAAACAACATCAGCCTTATTGGGCAAGGAGGAGACTTCATAGTCATATGTTTTCGTTTAGCAGAGGTCCGGACCTTATAGATGTTGTGGGACCAGTTTCCATCATCCTTAGCCAGCACTGTCAATGAAAACAAACATAATGGAAGTTGCAGTACACCATTGTCTGAAGAGCCACGGATTTGCCAGCCCTATTACAGAGGCTATGCATGCAGTTTATTTGCTGGTTGGAGGTCTAACCCCCCTTTTCTTCCTTTCTTCTTCTGTACTTTGCAGGTCAGTGGACATAAGCCCTACTAGACTGCATAGTTTAGCACAGCACTTTAGACACAGAAGCTCCAGCTTAGAGTCCCAAGGAAAGCTCCTTGGGTCAGAAAATGAGACTGGAAGCCCCGATTTCTACACTCCCAGGACTCGTAGCAGTAATGGTTCTGACCCCATGGATGACTGCTCCTCTTGCACCAGCCACTCCAGCTCTGAGCATTACTACCCAGCTCAGATGAATGCCAACTATTCCACACTGGCAGAAGATTCCCCATCCAAAGCCCGAGAGCGGCAGAGGCAGAGGCACAAGTCGGCAGGGAATCTTGTCTCCTCTAATTCAGGGAGCATGCCCAATCTGGCTGCCAGGAATGGGACTGGTCACCAAGGCGTTTACCTGCACAGCCAGAGCCAGCCTTCCTCGCAGTACAGGATCAAAGAGTACCCTCTGTACATTGAAGGGAGCTCCACACCCGTGGTGGTGCGCAGCCTGGAGAATGACCAGGAGGGACACTATAGTGTGAAAGCACAATTTAAAACATCCAATTCGTACACGGCAGGGGGAATGTTTAAAGAGAACTGGCATGGGGATGAAGTAGACTCAGTAAGACTGACCCCCTCCCGTTCTCAGATCATAAGGACTCCCTCCTTGGGCAGAGAGGGCCATGAGAAAGGGTCAGGAAGGACAGTGGTGTCGGATGAACTGAGGCTGTGGTACCAGCGGTCTACAGCCTCCCATAAAGACCATAGCCGCCTGTCGCACACAAGCTCCACTTCCTCGGACAGCAGCTCCCAGTACAGCACCTCCTCTCAGAGCACCTTTGTGGCGCACAGCAGGGTGACAAGGATGCCTCAGATGTGCAAAGCGACAACAGGTGAGACGAGGATGATGTGTGTGTCTCTCTCTTGCATATCAAAGAGCAGGTGCCTGGCGTGGTGAGAAATGCATGTGTTGCACAAGCAATGAATTCATTAAGCAGCCACAGAATGGATTAAGCATCCATTCTGACTCGGCCCTCTTTCCGGTCCCAACAGGATAGAGCCGTACTGTATTGACAAAACAAGAGAATGTACGTGATGCATTGTGAATAATTTATATATAGCAGTACATAAATGCTAAGCATAATTATTGAGATCTAGAGACAAATTAACACTGATATCAAATTACAATGAATAATTTTTTCTAATATGTAGCACATCCTTTGTTATGTGCTCACAAAAATAACACCATGTATCCTCTGAAAAATCACCAAGGAGTGTCCCTTTCTCAGCAAAAGTAGAATATTACTTGGGTTGTGATTTTTTCATAGCAATGCCACAGGCTTTAACTTCAGCATTGCTATGAAGACAGATAAGTTACAAAGTGTTGAGTAGCTTCAGAACGTAAATGTTTTCCTTCTTGCATTTAATTTTGAGGGACATAATAAAGGCATGTGTTAAAGCAGTGGTCCCCAGCCTTTTTAACTCCACGGACTGGTTGGGGAAGGTGGGGCACACACCCCCATGCTCACACAAAGGAGTGGGGGGAGGTGCAGTCTTGCACAAAGGGTGGGGACGCTTGGGGGCACTCACACACACTCACAAAGGGGTGGGGGTACTCTCTCATGCGCTCGGGGGCACTCACACACACTTGCAAAGGGGTGGGGCACTCTCTCACATACATATGCACAACAGGGTTGTGTGGTGGCCGGGAGCATGTGCGGGGTGGATGGGAGATCTGCCTCCGCAGCCCAGGCCATTCTCGGGGGCACTCACACACACTTGCAAAGGGGTGGGGCACTCTCTCACATACATATGCACAACAGGGTTGTGTGGTGGCCGGGAGCATGTGCGGGGTGGGTGGGAGATCTGTCTCCGCAGCCCAGGCCATTGACCGGCACTGGGCTGTGGACTGGGGGTTGGGGACCCTTGTGTTAAAGAGTTTGCCCTGAAGGCATGGCTTGGGGGAAAAAACGAGCTGTCTTGCCTATTGCTTTAACATGAGCTGTATATGCCTATTGCTAGAGAAGTCTGCGGTGTTCCTCCAGCTCCACACTGAGCCCAGTGGCTTAGTGTCACTTGGGTTTGGGGGTAGCAGCAATGCTTGCTATATGGACAAAGTGAGCAAGCTATAGCTTCAATTTCAAATTACAAGGGGTTCCTAGATAAAAAAAATTAAACTTAAAATTAAGTTTTAAAAGGATAGAATAATATAATGCTTAGCTGATAACTTTGATATAAAAATAATTAAATATTAAATGTAGATGCTTGTTCGTCAGCAGTACTTGTGCCAAACTGAATACATTTCCTTGTGTCCTTGAAGCTGAGGGAGTAAGAGGGATCTTCAAGGACTTTCTACCCTTTGGTTGCAACTGAATGAATATATGTGTACCAAGAAGGAGAAAGGCTTGAGTGGGGTGGCAAGGCAGGGCATTTGGTAGCTGTGCCTTTGAAAATAATTTTTTAAAACAGTTATACCAAACAACAGGACTAACGGTGTCATTTGTATTTGAGGCCCCCAACTTACTATACCAATTGCTTTCCAGCTGCCTTACCTCACAGCCAGAGGAGTTCAACCCCATCCAGTGAGCTAGCAGCAACACCACCAAGCAGCCCACATCACATCCTTGCCTGGCAGACAGGGTAAGTGTTGGGTCCAGGGGGGAAGGCAAACAAGAGAAGGCCTCGGTTCCTCTGGGATTCCAATTTCTAGATGCCATTACATCTGTTTCCCTATGTATTCATAACTCATACTTCTAGGTCACTAATCAAAACGCAGTTATATTCCTTACTGTAAGTCTGCTGTGGCACACCATACACCCCGTGAGTGCAGCTGATTTGATTTAATTGCAGAGACAAGTGTAGGGGTGGGAGCAAAGAAAACAACAGAGTTGCTCACATTCCAGTGGCTTGGACCTATTGACATTATATTAACAGTATGCACGTGTTGGTGTGTGCACCCAAGTATGAGTGAGTAACAAGAGTTTGGAGGGAATCACAGATTCACTCAGAGCACAATGAAATCCCAAAATTTCATAAAAATGCTGCCACTTTACCCATTCAAGCGAACACGAGTGGTTGTGCCACACCCACCACTGTAAACTGTCCCCACTTGACCTCTGCATTTTAGGCAAATCTGCTTTTGCTTCCTAACTAGGTCCCCACTTGACCTCTGCATTTTAGGCAAGTCTGCTTTTGCCTCCTAGGAGAGTCACTCCTTCTTTCCCGTTGGACAGAACTTGTCCTTCCAACATCCAAAAATAAAGCCAGAAAGCCATACCCAGTGTGACAGGAGTAATAACCTGGATGAATCAGAGTATGCATTCAAATCTTAGCAAGATGCTTCACCTGACAACTTTGGTCAAAGTTATTAAGATAAAAAGCAGATAGCAATATAGTCTGCAGGATTATAAACTAGGTAAACCAGTTTTTCCACGTGCTGCCTTTGCCACAAACTCCCTAGGTGGCAAGATCCAGTGACTCAGCTTCAATATGCCATCTGCAGCAGAGATATAATAACATAAACAAAGTTGTTGTAAAGATTACTAGTGTGTATGTGTGAAGTGCTTTGAACAGTGCTAGGTATGATTATTCCTTCTTTAGAAAGATCGGTCAGGCAACTATTTGCATGCCCAGATATATTAAAAACACAATTATCAGTTATGTGTTCTAACAGGCAAGCTCTTTTTTTTTGTCAGTCTGGGAACTGCTGCCTTGACCAACAAAGAAATGGTATTTTACTTTCTTTTCCCACACCCTTTTTCTGATCCTTCATACAGAGATCAAAAAATCAAAAACTCTGCTTGACATATTTCCCACATCACTAACTTCTTCTTGTCTTTTGGGGTGATTCACAAACCTGTTTCTGACTGTATTAATAAGCTCTTAACAGTGTTCTGCGTCAGTGCTTTTCTTTAACAATTCCTCTTTCCTTTTCCGCTCCTGATCCTTGTTCAGAGATGCAGCAGACAACTCACCCACTATGGATGAGTCTCAGTCTCCAACTCAACAAAGTACTGATGAATAGAGGTACAGTGAAGGGATGTTTTGTATTTTCAAATCCACACCCCTTCCCTCTGCCTTCCCTTATTGTTTCCTTGTCTTTTGTCTCATGATATTCACTGTTCCAGAGCTGCTTTCAGCTGAATGGGAGTTTGGATTAATGATTGCAAGATTGCTCAATTACTGGGTTTAGACATTATGGATAACAATAACAACTTGACAGGCACATGCAACTCTTTAGCAGTGTGTGCATGAGCACTAAGATATTGCTGCTGTTCTGTTTCAAAGAAACCACTTCACAACCATTGGGTTCAAGAAGGTTGCAGCCAGGACAAAGCTTGTACTGGGCAACACACTGAACAGGGAGATCTGGATTTGAAAATGGTTGGATAGCTAATCAGCTGGACTGTAGAATGACAGGGCCTTAGTTTACCTCCAGTAGACCTAGGAGGCTTCCTCTAGTCTACATGCAATCATCTCATTCCTCGTACCACCTCAGTTCTCATCTCCTGGTCTTGCTTTGTTGAAGGTACTTCCTCCTTTTCTTTGCCAGAAGTGAAGGGGGAAGGAAGCCTGCTTTCAGACAAGCCTCAAGAATAATACACAGGGATCTCTCTTCCATCCTTCCAAGAGAGCCATGTGTGATGTGCCTACATAAAACCGAGGGCTACAACAATTGAGTTGTGTAGAGAGAAGCTCTCCTGAATCAGTGAAGTCTCTTGTGTCTCTCTACATATTGTTGGGTACCTCTAGGAGTAGAGTATACTATAGTCAAACTAACTGTGAACTGAAAACAGAATCCTCTGCCATTGAGTTTCCTTCATGTCATCTCTCTGAAGACTTGTGACTCACAAACAAGATATACATGGTTGTAGAAAGCAGAAGAGAATGCTTTATGCCACTGGTTCTTAACCTTGGGTTACTCAGGAATTGTGGACTGCAACTCCCAGAAGCCTTCACCGGCAACTGTGCTGGCTGGGGTTTCTGGGAGTTGCAGTTCAAAAACATCCAAGTAACAAAGGTTAAGAACCACTGCATTATGCAATGCAGTTAGAGAGAAATGAAATGGAACAAGCACAGATAATTGAGAAAGTTTAAATGCGCATGCATGGACATTAATATTGTAACAGAATTACATATATTTCAGCCTTCTGTGCTTCTCACATTTCCTTTCTGTAACTTCAGTACTTAATACATTCCCTACATTCACTTATCTAACTTGCTCACTTGGTACACTATGTGTAATTGATGACATGGAAATTGGAAAAGTTATGCCTTAAAAACTAGTGAGTCTTCAGTGTGTGGCCAACATTAGTAGTTTTTACTGCAACAATGCAACCTGGCTACCACTCTGGGAAGCAAAAGGTCTGGAAGAGGCTGGTGCGTAAAACCACTGCATAAACACAGATCTTGCCTTGCTTGTTACAGGATGGCCTTATCTGCCTAAATATGTAGCATATACTCAGGCAAATGTAGAATTGTAGTAAATAAGCTTTATGATCTGCACAAGGAACCAAGCCCATTCTCCACCCACCCTGAAAGAACTGCATGCAGAGGCAATAGTAAGATTTAGCCTATGGCACCAACTTTTTCCACATTCTACTCCTGTGACATTTCCAGCACCAAATAGAAATTTATCAGGTGAAGGTCTTGAATCAATAAAGCAAGGATACAGGGAGAACAGATTCACTTTGTACATTTCACAGAATCAGGCTACAATGTAAAGTATAAAAACAGAGCAAATACATGACACGTTAGACTTGCCTTTGGGATTATGTTTGAACCCTTACCACCCAGTCCTATAAATTAGTAATAGGTCACAAGGGTTGAGCAAAAATGTAATTACAAGACAGCAAGCTTCCTGCTAAGCTGAGCACATGCATGCATGGCTCCACTTCCCTCTGTGCAGCTCTCTTCCTTCTCTGCGCAGCAATCACACAAAGTTCTGGTTGCAATGGAACCTAGAGCGCAGGGGGGCAGGGTTGTGTGTGCACGCAGGGATGAAGCTGCAAGAGAGGCAGAGCCCTGCCTAGCAGGGCTGGAAATTAAGAGGGTACGTTGCAAGACAGTCTTTGGTACATGTTCTGTTCTTAGAATGCATGAGGGTCACGTGTTTCAATTTCAGGATGCATGTGTGTCACCACATGTACTAACTTCTGTACCCTTGCTTCTCCTGTTTGTTCTCTAGCCATACCTTTCCTTTGTGCTGGCTCCATCTTCCCTCCTCTTTCCATCCTCTCTTCTTAGACTTTGAATATTTTTTACACCTCTGTAGCTTAACCAGGGGACGGGGAGAGTACAACAAAGAGAAAGACTGATTTTTGGAGGCATTCAAGATGAATAGCAAATTATTGAGGATGCATGGTCTCTTCCCAACTGATTTGTGTCCTTTCAATTATTTGTCCTAACAGCTGTCATCACTCAAGAGAAATGGATAATTCCATTAGGTTACACTTTTAAAAAATAAAAAATGATTTTGCTGCTCTTGAGATACTCAGGCAGTCACTCTTTCATGTGGTTTACTCCAATGATATTAAGAGTTAGAGTATCTCTTTACATTCCTTGTTTATTAATTCTGTTTAGAAAAGCTTAAAGAACTTTCTAAAACAGGAGAGAGAAGGGTTAATCACATTTTGAAGGACTCTGCATTCGAAATATATTTGGAAGACAATTGTCATTACTTGGTGGGAGTTAGTTTCTGAAGATGCTAGCTAGAAGATGGAATGGAAAGGACTAAAATTAGATTTGAAGAACTCACTTTATATAAGCCAGTAAAGGTTTAAAACTTCACATAATGCTGAGCATCAGCTGCTAATTGTGAATTTTTGTCGCATCTTTCGTAGGAGCTACAATGATAGCTGTTACCTGGATTCTCCCCTCTATCCAGAACTAGCAGATGTCCAGTGGTATGGACAGGAAAAAGCCAAGCCTGGAACTCTTGTGTGAATCCTTTTGACCTCAGCTGTTCAAACGCATCAATGCCATTCTGGAAATAATAAAATCACCTCACTGCCTCTCATTTGCCTTACCAAGATGCACTGGCGCCTGACACCAGCTTCAAGTCAAAGCACTTTTCACATAAGGCAATTGAAGATGGTAACACATAAGCAACTGGTTCATGACAGATCTTCTCTATCCAGTCAACAGTGAAAAATATTCCTTTAGTTCTGGTCATTGCACACTGCCATGTGCCTCAGAGCTCCACCAACAGGAGGGGGCAAATAACTGGATTTTAAGAAGACAGGAGACAAAGCAATTGGAAGTATTTATGGCATAAAATAGATTGTTCTTTGATATGTAAAGCTACTGTAACATAATTACTGAACTCAAAATACTGCAACAGTTACCATGAAATATCCATTTCATTACAGGAAAAGACTGGTAGGGCAAAAGGAGAGACCCATATTTTCATTTCAGAAATGAGCCAGAATATTATGATTTGTTCTGTGCTGCCAAAGATTGTAGTACCTGTCGATTATGAAACATTTTTTCTAAAATTCCATTTTCCAGATAAAGTCCTAGTATTCGGTAACCTGTCATCTTCATGCCCTAAAACCAAATCAGAACACTTAACAGCGGTGCAGATACCACATCATGTTTGCATATACTTGTTGGGAAAAGCCATTAGAGGAATAAGATGGCACATGAGGGCATCAGCAAGATTAAGGGCAAAAAATTGCTCCTTTCCACATTCCTGTAAACTAGCTGCAAGCAAAACTACCACTGTTTTTTCTTTTAAAGAATTTCTGTGATCAGTTGTGAAGTAAAATGCCAAAAAGCTTTTAAGAATTTTTTTAAAAACAGTCTTTGTAGAAAATGATGTGTCAGGTCATGGTAAAGCACACCATGGTCTAGTAAATTGGATCTCAAAATATCTTAACACTAATGTAGCTAAGGGCTTATAGACTGGCCAAGGAAGTGCGCAACGAGGAGGGCTTTGGCATTATTGTCTACCAGCAGATTAGGTCACATTTCTCAACTATTAAAATAAACCATTATGATATAAAAATGTTTCCATTTGATGTAACATTTGGTTATCTAACAATACCAAAAGAAAGAAATCTACAAGTTTACATGTGCACTTAAACTGCTTTTTATATTAAGTCTAGAAAGCCATCAAACTTCAAAAAGGCCTCAATACTTTTATAATAAAATAATGCACAATCTTAGAGCCCTTGTTCAATAACTGGTTTTGCCAGAGGACCACTTCTGGGGTGTTGGGACAATAACCACCCACACATTCCCTGTAGGCGTATGGGCAAGTCCAATTGCCACAAGAACCCTTCCCTCTGTTCTTTTGCCCCTGGACTGGAAAAGGTGATGACCAGAATAGTACCTTCTGGGGTCACCAACTGCTCACTCCTTTGTCAAGGCCAATGCTGGAAAAGGCACATCAAATCTCCACCATGGTGCTGAACTGTTTTTATGCCACTTGGTGACCAAGTGTTCTGTGCCTCTCCCCCCAATTTTGTGTTTGTGTGTAACTGACACCCAACAAAAACTGAAGAAAGACTCCAAAAAAACTAAAGTAATCCTTGTTTGATTTTATATGTATGCATGGTCTAAGGATTGGTTGTGGCTAATACTAGGAAGGAAAAAACCCTGTTTCCTCAAATTGAGTTTAAAACGTATTCATCTTTCTGGGGGTGGGGTGGGGCTAACTTTCAGTAAGATGCTAGAGAACAAGAACATACAAACCTGAAGCACAAGCAAGACAAATAGGAAATAAGGAAACAATATAAGAACGTTTAATTGACCGACCCAGAATAGTTCTCTTTGCATTGCATATTTACAGGGAAGACACTGTATGAAACCATTCAAAGCACTCACACATTGAAAACAGGTTTTTAGATTACAGTAGGACAACTGTAGTTCCAAAACCATGGACAATATGGAACCTTATATATAGCATGGTCTCTGGTTCCCAATAGTGGCCAGTTCTGATAATTACATTGTGGAAATGATATTTCTGGATTATTATTTTTCTTTTAATATTTTTAGACCGCAGATGTGAAACTGCAAATACAGGGCTCCTACTATAAGGTTTAAACAAGTAGTATAATACTTAAACAGAACTGCTATGATAAGTGACTCTATAAAACAACAGGTTCTCTTACATTACAGAAATGTCTGCAGTCACAAAGTTAAGCCTTTTACAGCAAAACAAAATCCATGGAATGTAAGCATTTGAAGCCTGCAAGTCTGTAGTCAATGTTTTTAAAACAGCCTTTGTGTACACAGCACTCTCCCAGCAACATCAGTAGGGGGTTTCAAACACAAATCATAAGTGACAAGACTTACCATTTTGAACACACTTACACAGAGACTTAGATTAATTTGCAGTCATTCTTACAACTGAGAGAATGGTGGTTATCAGCATATAGGAAGAGAGCAAGTCACTCCACAAATCTACAATGGCCCGAATTTTCTGGGGCAAAGCCATGACAGACAGTTAACATTGCTTTAGAATGAACAGTAGAAATAGAAATGGCAGTAGATACTTGTCTACTTCAAACATTACCTTTTCAGCTTCAACCAGCACCTAAAAAACAGGATGTGTTTTAATTTACAACTTGAAATGTCTGCTAGTATGCTTTTTGACCACCTTGCATTTAGCAAAACAGCTGGAAGATGAATTACAGCAACAACAGTCTCAAGCTGATTTTTTTTTCCTGTTGCTTCACTAGAACTGAGACATCCTTGCTTCATCAGGCAGTTGGATGTGGTGTTGATACAACAGTACTATTCATTGTTACATCTGAGTGAAAATCAGCATATTATTTAACATGAGCACTGGACATCCCCAAATTATTTATTTTGATACTCCAATTTGAAGAAGAAAAACAAACATGAGCCTGTCTGCAACATTCTTGGGGAAAGGGGCAGCTTTTATTAGGTGAGGTAAAGCGGGATAATTTTTTTTTAATTTTTTCAATCAAGGCACTTGTGAGCCAGTCTGGTAGTAAAGACAGAAATTATGTAAAACAGGTTTTACTGTTTAACTCAATTCAGTTATAGAATAATGTACATAAAATGTTAATCAGGAGATTAACATGTTTTACGTATAAAGTGAAGGGGTAAACCATAGCTATTATATACAAGCACTTGACTACCCCATCAATAAGTCCCCTTTTGTTTTTGTGTATTTTTTTTTAAAAAGGTTCCTAGTCTAATAATGCATCTTGTCCATATGAACAAACATCCTCTGTCTAGCTTTGTATATGCATAGACACCATGTGACATGGTGGACAGGGTTTATTTTTAAAATTACATTATATGCAGCTGAGTGTTGAAAATATTGAGAAAGAAGAAAGGTCCCATTTGTTTTGTTTTTCCACCCAGTATTAGTTTTAGTTTGGACTTAGCAAACCCCATTCAGGTGCTATCAGATGACCTGTTACTGCTTAGTTAACTAGATGTAAAGTTTTACACACACACACACATATATATTAATGTCAATAGTTTTATTACAAGTTGTGCAAAAATGAACTCTAGTTTAAAAAGAAGAAAAATCAGATCTCTTCTGAAATTGACTGTAGAGCATGTAAAATGATTTTACTGAATCCTGTGCAACAGTAATCAAGGGGAAGAAAAGTTGTTATGTTGTAGAAAACAGTTGCAGAATTTTTTTTAAAATCTGCTTTTAATTTATTCTTTTTGTATTAAGAATTTGTATAGTTACCTTTACATTTTGCAAAAACAGTGTTGTCAACACTTCCTTATTAAAGCATTTTCAAGAGGTGTGCACATTATTATTATTATCCCTTTAGCTACATCTGCACATAATTGCACATACACTGCCTTCCATCTTGCATTAGATCTCATTTGCATGGAAGTACTTGTACTGAAACTGTTTTACTCTTAACAAAGAATGGAGGAAAACCAGCTAGGATAACAACTAATTTGAAGGTAAGACTGTGGCCTAAATCGTCACTAATGTGCAATAAGATTCTTTTTCTTTCCACTTCTGCCATTACTTTGAGAAAAATCAACACTCTACAATACAAACATGAGGTTATTTATTGGGATTCAAGAGAAATCCTTCAAAATGATCCTGCTCAACTGAAAAACAGTTTTATGACATTCTGCAGCTGGTGATAGTTACCCCAGCCCTCCCTTGTGTAAACCAACAGGAAATCCTTACTCTGAACTTGCCTTTTTTCCCCTCAATAAAATAGTACAGTCAACTATTTGAACCCAAGCTTGTGGCTGCAATTCAGGTCAGACCCAGCTGCAGAAAGCCTCCCTGAGGCCAGGGATGAAAAAGCAGTTGCCATGGCAGTGTTCCCATAGTTACTTACACTGGGGAGTGCTGCAGCTGGCTCCCACAGTTTAGGACAGCTGGAACCTCTAGAATGCAAACTTGCCATGAGAAAGTATTTTTCAGTTTCTTTGTTTCCCATAACGTGTCATTCCGTAGAGTACTTGGGGATAAGGTTATTCCAACACAGGATATAGTTCAGTACAAGAAGCTTATTTTAAGCACTAACGCCCATAATAAAGGCAATTTCTAACATACAGAAATTTTGCTATTATTTAAAAGACTGTCAAACAGCTGTCAAACCTACAGTTCAATGCATTCCAATGGGGGGGGGGAAATTAACGAAGAGTCAGAACAAAGCCAAATTAAGTTTGCAAAGGTTTCACAAGGTGCACTAACGATCCCAAGCATTTAAAACAGTTTTTGAACATTTTAAGACACTTTAAAAATAGCGAAAACGGCTCTGTAATGTGCCATTAACTCCAGAATTGTTTCTATTGAGTATGATACCTGATAACATAGATAAGTCAAAGCAACATATAGTTATGTACATTGTTACGGCAGCTAGAATTCTATATACAAAAAATTGGAAAAGTCCGACGATACCGAAACAAGAAGACCTTATTGAAAAAATACGGGAAATAGCAGAAATGGACATTTTATCAGAAGTCATGAAGGACTACCCCCTACAAAAGGCAACAGAAAGATGGGACCTATTCAACAAATGGACCAAATTAACAGGCAACATGTAAATAGCATATATTGAAATGAGAACTTACTCTAAAAGGCAGAAAAGAGAAAACAGAACAATTTAAAAATATGATATGGCAATAAGTTCAGAATGGTTGTTAGCATGTTATGGTCTCTCCTCTTCGCCATAAATTCCTAAGTCCCCTTTTCCTTTTTGTCACCCCTTATGTTAAAAAATATTTTTTAAAAAAAATTAGCGAAAACGGACATAGCTAAGCGAAACAGGGGAACCTAAACTGTCATCGCTAAGCGAGGCAAGGTCCCGAACATAGCTATGCGAAATTTCCCCATAGGGAACATCGCTAAATGGAGTGCAAAATCGCTCCAAAAACCTCATCGCTAAGCGAATACATCAAACGAGGCAATCGCTAAGCGAGGCACCACTGTATGTGACTTAATCACAAACACTAGACAACTAAAAAAACTCATGCAAACCTTTTCTGAGTAATCACATTCTTAGTTTTAGTTTCACTTTGTTATTGAAGGACAATTTTAATAGAAGGCCACAAAACCATGTGTAAGTCTGGTCCAGATCCAGACAGAAGTGAACTGCACTGAGCATGAAAAAAGGCTGTCAGACCTTTTTTTTCAGAGGGACCTCCCTTTATAACTGGGGAAAATGGGATTTTTCAATGCTTGCTTTGGACGAAAAACATGCAGTTAATATTCTGGATTTTGCCCATCTAACATGACTAACTGCAGTACAACAACCCAGATAACTGGTTAAGTGCAGACATATGGTGTGGAAATTTTTCCACAGAAAAACACAGTGTCAGAATATTTTCTGGAAAATTTTGCACCCCACTTCTCTTGAGTACAACAAATGTAAAGTTGTAATCTAGTATTTGTCATTTAAAGCATACTAGTTTAAGCCATACAAAGTGAACATTAAAGCTACAAAGTGAAACATTTCTTAACACATCCAAAATCCTTATTTAAAATAATTTTATTTAAATTTCCTTTTCAGGGACAATTTATTGAGCAAACATATTTGAACGGCCAGAAAGCAAAATGATAGCCAGCAGAAGAAAACCCTCTCCTCCAACCAGTGAAAGTTTCCTTCTTTCTCCTCCAGCAGTTGCATTTTTCAGCATTTGACAAGAGACCAGCCTATTTTTTCACAGAGACACTTCACCGTCCTCAGTTCCATTTTACTCTAGTGATAAACAGTGGCTTCTCTAAGACCTCATACACTAGAATTGTCATGGCCAAGAAACTCAGAGACCTCACTCCAAAGCACCACTGCTGAAACACTTGTTTGGGAACAAAGTACAATGTATACACACATATACATGCACACATACACAGCAGGGCTAGCCCAATATTTTCGCTGCCTTATTGGAGTAGAATATATCACTCTACACACAAACATACAGAAAGAAAGAAAGAGTACATAACTACAGTGGTACCTCGACTTGAGAATGTCCCTACATAAGAACAATTCGAGTTAAGAACGGCTCCGTTCGCAAAAAGTTGCTTCGACTTGAGAACGGAGCCTCGACTTAAGAACCAAAAAAAAACACAAAAACCCCACACTTTTTCTGCCCTTTTTTCTGACCTAAATTCACCTTAGGCCAAAAGAACAAACATTTTTTAAAAAAACCCTAGTGGTAAATATGGATTAACTGGCTTTGCATTAGTTCCTATGGGAACTAATGCTTCCACTTAAAAACAGCACCTCGACTTAAGAACGAAAAACAGCAGATACGGATTAAATGGTTCTCAATGCATTCCTATGGGAAATGGTGCTTGGATTTAAGAACGCAGTCCCAATATGGATTAAGTTCTTGAGTCGAGGTACCACTGTACTAAGGTCAGTCAAATTATTCTGGCACCTGAGGCAGAAAACCTGACAAGTCCCTGCCCCCATTCCAGGCCAAAAAAAACCCCCCTAAGTTGTAATAAATTAAGCAAATACCAACTGGCTACACTTCGTGACACTTAAATTCCACTGACCAAATATAAGCCATCACATCACAGTGCTATTTTACCTGAAAACTCAGCCTTCAATCTTATATTTACATTGCTGCACTGTTATTTTAGAAACTACTTGCATATTGTTGGAAACAGGATGCTGCTTTCAAGAAACAAAATTAAGCGCCAAACAGCACAGGACGATACCCTGCCTGACATGAAGTAACCATACACCTTTGTTGCCTTGTGCAGTTTATCTCCCTCTTTCTTATTTTTACTAGAAAATGATGAAAGCCACTTCCCCATCTCCTCAGCTGTCCAAGAAGGACTGCTTAAAACAGGAGCCCTCTTGGTACTCTCACAAACCAGTCTTACTGACTTGTGAAAATACATTTCTGAGGAACAAACTTGGCATGCTGGATTTTCTAGCAATGTCTGTTGGCAAACCGTTTGAGTAGAATCTCTAATGCAAAGCAGTTCCTACAGGAACATTTCCCACAACCTGTAATCACTTCTCCATTTTCAAAGAGCTCAGTGACTAAAATAAATGGAACCAGATTATAATACAGATTTGGTTTTGATTTGGGGTAAAGGTGGGGCTTTAATTTTTAATATGATTATTTAATTACACCAAAACTACTAAGGAGCTATTTATTTACAGTTTTTAAAATACAATATCCTAAATTGATCGCATTTAGTTAATCATTCATTAGCTGCAACCTAAGTAAAATGTAGAAAAACATGCTGCTGCCAATGAAGCACAAAACTTGCGGGTGGAGAAACTTTGTGTCTAGTGGATCAAAAGCAGCTCAATTTCAAACATCTCACAAGCTGAGAATTTGGGGGAATAAAATCACATTCTTAGAAAATGAATATTCAGATACAAAAGCATTTTATGGAGTAACTGTGTACATTTCTCAGAAATGTCTTCCTCCCTCTTAAACACAATACAAATGATCAAAGATAATCTAAGTATTAACATCTGTGAAATGTCAACCTGAGCCTAAGCAAGAGGCTTCTTCTCCCATCAATCCCCACTGAGACTCCCAAATCAAGAGTTCTGAAAGAAAATTTCTTCTCTCACAGTCTGGGCATCCAAGAGCAGAAGCTGATCGTCATCATCACAATGCATTGTACTCCACACATTTTGATGGGTCAGTAGGGAAGTGTTTCTGGCAAATGGTCATGAGCCTCTTCAAGCCCTGAATAAACACGAAACAGCAAGTCAGAAGCACCTCACATTAACTCCACCCAACTGTAGAATCAACGTGTGAGGATTGCACCTACAGCACAGCAAGTTCAGGTCTATCTCCTTTTTTGTAGTATCACCTGTGTTTACATATGCTGAGCTGAAGACATCATCATACAACAGTGGTTCCCAACCTTGGGCAACCCGGGTGTTCTTGAACTGCAATTCCCAGAAACCCCGGCCAGCACAACTAGTAGTGAAGGTTTCTGGGAGATGCAATCCAAGAACATGGGAGTTATCCAAGACTGGAAACCAGTGAGCGATGAATCTATAATTCTACTTATCCTACCTGAATGTATTTCCTTTGAGTTTCATCATTCAGAACATGAGCCACGTGTTTCGAGAAAATTTTCTCCCGACCAGTTCGGGCATGGATGCCAACCATAGTAACGCCAATAGGCCAAGGCGCATTGCCAATAGCCATCTGAAGGTAGGCATCATTGGCCTAAAGAAACAAAAGAACAGTTAACAATTGTAAAAAGAAGAACATACATCAAGACATAGCACTGGCCTACATCAACAGCCAGATGACAGAGAAGTCAAGCAGTCTATTCTTTTCAGGGGTAACACAGTGGTTCCGTGGGAAGGAGCCCAAAGAACTTGTGGACTCCATGCTTACAAGCTTCTATATCATGTTCGTTGTTATTTCCCATCAAGTCAGAACCAATGTATAACAACCCTAATAGGGCTTTCAAAGTAAGTGAATTCTTTCTTTCTTTCTTAGATTGGCTTACAACATTAAAAAGTATTTAAAAGCTAAAAGCAAATAAGTATACATATGTATATTTAAAAAGAATTAAAGTATTATATTAAAAGGGTGACTAAAATCAATATTAAAAAACATTTAAAACAACAGAGCACAACAGTCCATTTAAAATAACCCTCTCAGACCACCAACCATTAAGGAAAAGCCTGCCTGAAGAGAAAGCTCTTTGCCTGCCTGCGGAACGACAGCAAAGATGGGGCCAGCCTAGCTTCCTGTGGGAGGGAGTTCCAGAGTCTGGGAGCGGTGACAGAGAAGGCCACCTCCAGTGTCCCGAACATCAGTGCTGTATGTAACAAAGGCCACCTCCAGTGTCCCTACCAAGCACACCTGTGAGGGTTTTGGTACTGAGAGAAAGGCCTCTCCTGGTGATTTTAATGACTGGGTAAGCTCACAGAGGGAGATGCAGTTTTTTAGATAGCTTGGACCCTCTGAGTTCTCCCCTCCAGGAAGGACCAGAGCCACTGTAAAACTGCCTCCAAGTCCAATCCCAGAGAGACGACCCAGAAAGATATCATGGTCAATGGTATCAAAAGCTGCTGAGAGGTCCAGCAGAACCACAGGGACACATTCCCCCTGTCCAGTTCCTGGCATAGGTCATCGACCAAGAAGATCAAAGCAGACTCTGTCCCACAAGCAGGCCTGAAATCAGATTGAAATGGATCTAGATAATCCGTCTCCTCCAGGAATCCCTGGAGCTGAGAAGCCACAACCCACTTCAGCACCTTGCCCAAGAATGGGATGTTAGGAGACTGGCCAGTAATTATTCAGTACTGTAGGATCCAAGGAGGATTTTTATAATAATGGTCTTACTACTGCCTCCTTTAAGCAAGCTGGGATTCTACCCTGCTGCAAGGAGGCATTTACTACTCCTTGGACCCACTTGGCCAGTCCCTCTGGCAGCTTTTATAAGCCAGGACAGGCAAGGGTCTCACAGATAAGTGGTAGCCTTCACCACTCCAAGGATCCTGTCAAAATCATCAGGCTGAAACATCCATTTAAGGAGTGCCTTGACCAGTTATGCACCCCTAGTGAGCTTCCATGGCTGAATGGAGATTCAAAAACAGGCCTCCTCAGTCCTAGTCCATCAGTATATCCACTACATCACACTGGGTATCCTCTTTATGTCATGTAGCTTCAAATTGACTGCTACCTTTAGTGACAAAGATTTATACTTGACACCACAAGCAAAACTAACATTTCTGGAAACTAAAGATGCAATTAGGTCAATTTTTAAAAAAAGAACCTTTAAGAGCACATGCCACCAAAACCCTAACAACAAAGTAATTCTCTTGAATTATGGTTGTCAATTCACCCTGCCTAAACTGCCCACATTCATTCACTCCACTATCAGTTATAATATCTGAACCTTAATTCTGGCCATTCAAGATCTCTAAGGAACCACGCAATGGAGTGGGATCCCCTCATTCCTATACCCAAAGTTTAAACATCAGCTTATACATTTCTCACCATGTTTATTACTAAGGAAAATAATATTACTCTGAGATGTAAGGTACTGAGACATTTATATGCCTTAAACCAATTAAGCTACAGGACATAAATGTCATGGAATCTTTTAAGTGTCTGATACCTTGACATACTCTCTTTGCAGCATAAACTTGATAATATCAGTTATCGATTCCTTGATGTCTGCAGGAAGAGTCTAAATATAAAAAAAAATAGCTGAGAAATGAGAGAAGTATAAAGTCCAACGTAGCTCAATGCTCCCAAACATCTAATAACCAAAGTAAAGCTTCTTCAAACCGTTGAAAGTGGAGGGATGATAGACTCTTATAATCAAAAAACAGCAAGTTTGAAAGTGAGATTTAGAGCTCACCAGCTTCAAAGAAGTCTCGTCCCTGCAATTCTGCATGTGTTACTGACATGGATGTGCCCCTAGACTGGAAGGGAGCACACCTGGAGTAACAGTTGCTCAGAGACCCAAGAGGCTGCTTTCTCTGAGGAAAAGGAAAGTGTTTCTGCAGTGGGAGTGGCATTAAGATCCATACAAACAGTGACATTCTGGACACAGGAGTGGAGGTGATAATGCAAGCGCACAGCAAGCAGCCTCATCTATGAGTAAAGGCTTTTGAAATACAACAGCACTTACTCACAAGTCTGAAAGGAAGCAGAAGTTTTAGGCTGTTCCTTTATTCCTCCCCAACATCAATGCTTCCCACCACAGCCACATTCAAAGCATGTCAATTGCACTCAGTGTCCACCCAAGGCTAATCTTCCCAGGTGGAAGTTGAGGCTTCCCCTTCGAGGTGGACTCTGCAGGCTCCTTCCTCACCTGCAAGACCCCTTGGCCAGAGCAGACACTGTCTTCTGCTCCCCCCCCCATCCCTAATACAGTGGTGCCTCACTTAACAATTACCTCATTAAACGACGAATCCGCTGACGATTAGATTTTTGCAATTGCTTTTGCGATCGCAAAACGATGTTCTAATGGGAAAAAACCACTTTACGATGATCGGTTTACTGCTTCGGGAACTGATTTTTCACTTTACGATGATTAAAACAGCTGATCATTGGGTTTCCAAAATGGCTCCCCACTGTTTTTAGGACGGATTTTTCGCTATACAAGGAGCAGAAAATGGCCGCCCTATGGAGGATCTTCGCTGGACGAGAAGGTATTTCGCCCACTGGAACGCATTGAATGGTTTTCAATGCATTTCAATGGGCTTTTTTATTTCGCTTGATGATGATTTCGCTCTACAGCGATTTCGCTGGAACGGATTAATGATGCCAAGCGAGGCACCACTGTATACTGAACGATAAACACTATGAGTGGGAGACGAATGTCAACCTGCTTTGCACATACGCTGCAACTGGTTCGACTTTTTATGATCCCCTTAGTGATACTCATCCTCTACGCACCCACCATGTGCATCAACCACCAGTGCCAGGCAAGGGCCGATTAAAGCATTCTTTTCAACCACCAAGATGCTAGTCCGACTATAGTCCTATTCTTCCATTACTTACCTGGTTCTTCGTAGTACACTTGGAGAGGGGAGAGCCTAGCCATTCCTCTCTATCATCACTCTCTTCACATAGAAAACAACATGTATGAAGAGATGAGGTTCTTGGTCCTGTATAGCCTCTTCACGCAAGCAAGAGATCCAATTATCCAGGGCACCTACTCTGACCTAGAGCCTACAGGGGAGCAAGAACCTTCTCTTTTTTAAGACATATTGCTTCCCATGTGGAAAAAGTGACAATGGGGAAGAAAGGCGCTCATTACTACTCTCTGAGAATGTTATCAAGAACCAGGTAAGTGTGGAATGAATAGGGCCTCACAGACCCCTGAATTTGCCTCTGATTTGAGCTCAATGTCTTCCCCTTTCAAAAGCATTTGTTCTTCTCCGTAAAATGGGAACTATAATTATAATGCTGAGTAAAGAAACCATAAAACTGTAAAACTGAATACAGTAAAAGGCTACTTTTAAAATGTGCATATTTTAGAACTGTCACACCAATGTATTGGAAGTAGTAGAGGGCCAGTTTTACCGCGTGATTGAATACTGCATAGAACATATGTCAATTTTATATACTTTGTCTGCACTAAATAAAACCAATGTTATAACCATTATATTGCAAATGAAGAAATTTTGCTGACATTACCCTTTTCCGAAGCTTTCTGAACAGAGGTCTCAGATACGATTCTGTCTGTTTCTGAGTGGCACTATTCAGCTTTCCTTGTACACCTCGTTTCACATAATCTTCTCGGGCATTCAGCTCCTTGGCCCAGACTCCAAGAAGAAACTGCAGATGAAGAGAACTTTAGGCCATACTGCCACCATGTGGCTAACCTGAAGCAGTGTTCATATAATGAACTTGCTGCCTTATGCATTTATTTGGTAATAAGTCCCCCTAAAATCCAGTAGAACTTGATCCATACAGTCGAGCTGTAACTCAACTATTTCAAACTATAAATTAAGCAATGTTTTTTTCTAAATTCTTCAACAGTATCTAAAAGAATCACATTTATTTAAGTCACTTCATACTACAATACTAGTAATGCATACCAGTTGTATAGCGAAGGGTTCAAAAGACCCGGTATATATTATCCCACTAATGCTTATCAGAGCCCTTTAAAGAAGGCCACTGCTTTCATTCCCAAACGAGAAATAAGTGACCACTGAAAGAATAATGTCTTGCCATGGATGCCTCCTTGTGTGTTCACATCTGTGAAGTACATGATACTCCCTCTGCTTGAAACAGAAAATGTGCCAATGCACAGTCTAGCCTCTCTAGAAAGGGAACTGGCACATTGTTACTTGAGATCATGGCAGCTGCGAGTTTCAGGGCAGAAAGCTCAACAGAGACTCCCAGTGCAGAGCACAGTATTTGCAGGAACAAGCAATGGCAAATATTTAAGCTTTGTTCCATTTTCTACTCTTCATTTGCAATCCCAACCATTTTTCCCCAAATTAATCAGAAATCCTGAACTCAGAGCCAAACTAGGAAAAACGCAACAGGAAATCAGGAGCTCCAGAGAAAAGGTTGTAAGTTGGGAACACACACACCCTCCACTACCCACCTACATATTCCCGCTATTCTGTATTCCCTCTATTCTGTATAATTAAACTAAAACACAGACTGGGAATCCTAATTAGCCTTCAAACATCTAGTTTAATCAGTCATCAGAAAGTCCAGGAGTTCTCTTTGGATTGATAGGCTCTAGAGTTCCAGAAATTTGGGAAATTTCTCTACCCACATGTGATACTAAATGCACTGTTGGCAACCTGCATTGTTGAATCCCTTGCTAAGAACATCTTCCTGTCAATTTTGGTATGATCAATTCTAACATTCAAATCTAGGTTTAAGTGCAGTATCAAGATGATTTTATTAGAGATCAGACATGTAGAGATCAGACATGTAGAAAATACATTGTGGCACATCAACTCTCCTTTTTAGCACAGCAGTGGTGTTAAGTCTTTACCTTCAAGAATTTGGTTATGATATCCATGTCTTTATGATCATCACCTTGTCCTAATGATTCCCCCAAAGCCTAGAATAGAAAAACAATTATTTTTCGGTTCAGATGGAACTCCCATATTATCCACAAATTTACATGAACTCAGTACTGCCATGACTGAGCTGAAATTGTGCAGTGTGTATTAAGAGCACAGTTAAAATGTTTTCTTCTTGAGATTTTATAGGTCAGGATTGAAAGGGCTACTTGCAGCATATCCAAATGTTTACACATGGTCCTATAGAACTTTTCAGCACATTGTGTTGGAATAAAAAGATCCTCCAATAAATAAGGAGGACAGGGGCTACTGTGTGCATACCAAATATGTTAATTCAGAGGGTACGTTGCCTTCTTGGAGCATGTAACAAAGACTTGATGGAGAGGCTGCAGAAGCTCATTATCCTTGCCTATTGATCCACAGGGGAACAACTGATATAGCAAAAAATCTTGACTGGATCACCAAAGACCATAAGGCTTTGGACAGGGAAGTGAAGGACTCAAGAACAGAACTAGTGCTTCATAGTTCCTTCCTGTTGAAGGTCTGATCACTGGAAGAGAAATCAGTATACTAGAAATGGGCATCAGTCTACAGGGATCATAATCAGTAAAGGTTTCATTCAGTGAACTATCACCTATAATAATAAAATGAAGTTGCTTGGCATGAGATGCGCTGCACTTGATGAGACTGGGAGGAACATGTTTGGCTGCAGCTTCACAAACCTAAACAAGAGGATTTCAAACTAACTTCTGCTTAGGAAGCAGAAATAAGGAGAATGAGGGAGATAATATGTAACAGAAGAGGAAACAGGAGAATGGAGGTGATGCCTAGTACTTTACAAATAAATACAGCAGAGAAAATATTCTGGTGCAACACCCCATCACCTTTGCCATTTAGATTCTAAGGGAAAAATCTACGGGAATACAGTGGTGCCCCGCCTAGCGACGATAATCCGTTCTGAAAAAATCGTCGCTATCCGGATTCGTCGCTATGCGGGACTAAAAACCCCATAGGAATGCATTAAAACATGTTTAATGTGTTCCTATGGGGAAAAACTCACCGCTATGGGGAAAATCCTCCATCTGGCCACCATTTCGCTGCCCGGTAAGCGAGGGCAGGGCGCGAAAACGCTGCGGGCGGCCATTTTCTTCACCCGGCGGCCATTTTTGAACTGCTGATCAACTGTTTGTAAAACATCACAATGCGAAGATCGGTAAGCGAAACGCTTACCAATCATCGCAATTCGATTTTTAGGCATTGAGAACGTCGTTATGCAATAGAAAAAACAATCGGAAAAAACGCATTGCTATGTGGATTCGTCACTAAATGCGCACTTGCTATGCGGGGCACCACTGTATCTCAAAATTCTTATTAGAATGTTAAATACACTATGACAGGTATCACTGAAGGTGGAATGCAATTCATGATTAGAATATAATTATGACAGTATACCTCATTTAACACAGACCCAAAAAAGGAAAGCAGAAAGTGTGCCATATGTGAAGAATGTATACGTACATATATATTTGTTTATATATAAAAACCTGAATTTATTTATTCATTTATTCATTTATTTATTTAATTTATACCCCGCTTATCTGGCCCACCGGACCACTCTAGGAGGCTTCCAAATATAAAATCAAATAATAAAACATAGACAAATACATAATAATCAAACAAGAACAGCAGTAAAAATAAAAAGGAAAAGTAAGAAAAAATCAAGAGTTGGCTGGAGGGAAGGCCTGAATAAACAGCCATGTTTTAAATTGGGTTTTAATGTATCGTACACATGTATATATCTATTAGTGTAACAGTGGAAGCCCTGCTGAAAGCATCAGGGTAGGAAGAACAAGTTATATTATTTAAAAACAAAAGTATTAAAGTAGCATACTGTTAGAATGGCTAGTCAGACTAAAAATTACAGTACTTTCACAGAGAGTATTCGCCACAGTAATGAAGTATCTAACAATCCCAATATCAACAGGAAGTCCAATTCTACTTAGAACAGAAGGTCCAGTAAAGTATCACCTGGCTGACAACGTCATCTTTCAGAAGTGGAAGCACCAACAAGAGAATACATTATCCTAGTCATGAAAGATGGGAAATCTCAAAAACCAGAATACTGAAAGTGCAATCACAAACTATTTCCATGAAAAAAGAATTACAAGAAGACATTAAAGAAATCAGCTCCCTTATAAACAGAGACTCAAAAGGATCATGGATAAGAGGTGGAAATCAGGACATGTAAGCAACTGACAAGATGTTAAAATGTGGGCTGGAAAATGATGCTGTTAGGTAGATTCAGAGCAGATTGAAGTAAATCAAGCCTAATTAATGCTCTTTGTCGGCCTGGAAGCAAATCTATGACATACTACGGATGTACAGTTAAACATTCAGAAACAACCTGGATAACGGCAGAGGGGACACTTATTAAATCTGCAGAGAACACAAAACTGGGGGGGGGGGACACAGTGCCATGGAACCTAGAATCAAAATTCAAAATAATTTTGACAGGTGCTAAGCCAAAGCCAGCAAAATGAAACTCAATTTAATTGAGAAGTACTGCATTGAATACAGAAGTATAGATGCACAAGCACAGAATAAGGCCATGTAAAAAGGATCTAGGTGTCTTCGTGACTTAAAATAAGCCAGCTGTTCAATACAGCAACTAAAATAATGAGGCTAATTTTAACATGGATGAACAGATCATTAATGCTAATAATTCCAATCTATTTCGCACTGGTCAGATAGCACCCTGGAGTACGCTGCTGCCACATTATAAAAAGTACTGACAAAACAGGAGTGTATCCAAAGAACAGTGTTCAGGTAAGTGACAGGTCTGGAAACCAAATCTTAAAAAGGAATGATCAAGTGAGCTGGATCTTAAGCCTCGACAAAAGAATATTAAAGGAAGATACAATTTCAGTCTTCAAATATCTGAAGGGCTATCATGCATAAGATGGAGCAGATTTGTTCTCTGTCACCCCAAAAGAGAATAAGAAGTCAAAATGAAACAGTCTTTGGCTGAACATTAGGAAAAATTTCAAAATAATAAGAGATGTTTGAGTGGAACAAACGGCACCAGAAGACAGTGGCCCCTTCTTTGCTGGATATGCTTAAATACAGAATCTGATTAATCATCTGTCAAAGATAATGCTGATTTCTGCACTGAGCAGGGAGTTGGACTAGAGCACCTAAGGCTTCCCCCAACTCTATAATTCCATGAACATGAATTAATTTCAAAAATTCCCTCCCACACACACAAAAATAAATTGCTGCAAGAAAGGAAGGAAATGTCAAGAAATCCATAAGCAAAGAAGATGACATTTCTCAACATCACAATGGCAAAGACAGGCTTGATAATATGCTGGCAAAGCGACAATAAAAACGAGTGGGGGGCCTGCAAGAGAACCCCTTCCTTGACTTCTTACTCAATTTTAGGTAAATTATACTATATGTCATCTTAGCCACAAGGCCAAGAAGCAGCTCTTGGCCAAATTATACCTTCACATAGCCTTCCAAAAAGAGAAGATCAAATGCCTACTCAAATTTTTGTAGCCCAAGAATGAATTGAATATAATTTCCAGTAATGGGAGAAGTTAGAGGATAGAGTGGGGTAGAGTTTCATGACTAGCAAAATAGAATATTAATAATGTATTTTTAATATAATGCTTATCTATGACATTTCTATTTAAGAATTAATCATATGCAATGTATATTTAATTTGTATTTAATAATTCCCATTATTTTGTAGTTCTCTTACTGGTTTTTGTCTGATCTGTTGATCATAATAAAGGAATTGAAACCAAAATAACACGAAGAACTTGTGGATTAATGTAAAATGAAACCATGTGAATCTTCTCTATTTCTGTAATTTAGAAAGGCTACAGAATCCAGCTTCTCTTGACACAGAAACAGAACATCCAGAATCTTAACTGTTTTTAATTGGGTATAGAAGGGAAATCATGGAAGCCATTGCAGTTAACTGACAAGGTGCAATCCCATGTTGGTCTGCAAAAAAGTCTGCAGTTTCCTTCCCGCATGGGGTAAACAACATTAGGATTCTAGTCAATATATTTATTCATCTTAGAGTACAAGTGTGCGCATCCCTGCATGTAATTAGGAAACAATCAGACCTTTCATACAGTACCTCCAGTTCTTCAATGGTTGTGTTCTCTTCATGGACTTTGAGATCATTCTGTGTGTCATCTTCTCCCTGCTCCTGGCCACCCACAATTTCATTCAGATACTGCTGGTCAATTTTATCCAAAGCAGCCTTGAGGTCATTTCTCAACCCCTACAAAAGAAAAACAGTACAGTAATTAAAATATGTCAGGCTTGTCCAGAGAAGTCATCATATGCCAAGCCCTAAACAAATGGGAATTATGCATGGTGCAGTGTTTTTATATATAAAGATACCAATGTCTACAGTTCATATTTTAAGTAAGATGAGATAGCTAATTTGCTTGCTAAACCCCATAGAGGCCTCTCTATAACCATACTGGGCAATTAGTATGATATATGAAACAGTTTTCCTTAACACGATCATCTCCAGATTTCTTAGATCAACATCCATCATGTAAGTGCGAAGTTATTGTCTAATAACCTGACAGAACAGCATCTTGAGGAAGGCACAATTGTTTTCTAAAAAAGCTTCACATCAAATATATCATGCAGATCTTCTATGTCTGTAAACAGCCATGGCAGACGGTACCGCCTAGCTGTATTTATTTATTTATTTATTTATTTATTTATTTATTCATACATACATACATACATACATACATACATACATACATACATACATACATACATACATACATACATACATACATACATACATACCCTGCCTATCTGGTCATTCTGACCACTCTAGGTGGCTTACAACATAAAAAGATAATATAAGAAAATTATAACAATTAAATTATTCTGCAAGATGGGAAAAATACAAAAATAAATCAAATAGAGAGAGAAGGGAAGAGGGTCTGGAATTAACTGGGGGGAAGGCCTGCCTATACATCCACGTTTTTAATTGATTTTTAAAAGTACCCAGCAAGGGTGCAGCGCAAATCTCCGGAGGAACCTACTCAAAGTTACATGCAACAGGGTAGACAACATTTTCAAAAAAATCATTAAGTTGTAAGAAACACTCAATTGTATTAATGACCTTATAATCAGTAGAAGCTTTTTCTGAATTTCTTCCTTAACATTACATTTTTGTACACTTCTTTGAATTGCACGGGTCTGAGCAGCACAGCTTTGGTTATACGTGGATTTTTTTTCAACAAAATAAATATTTCAATTAATAAATAAATGCTCAATAAATAATAGTTAATGCTGTGCTCCCAGCCACCCAGAACCAGGGGCATGAGTTCAACACCAAAGGAATTTGTATGTTGCTGTCTAGTCGTTTAGTTGTGTCCGACTCTTCATGACCCCATGGACCAGAGCACGCCAGGCCCTCCCGTCTTCCACTGCCTCCCGGAATTGGGTTAAATTCATGTTGGTAGCTTCGATGACACTGTCCAACCACACTTGTATACTTGCCCACAATCACAACATCTCTAATTCAGCTTCTAGATCAGGTGATCAGAAGGATCTTTAAGGCTTAGTAAACACAGTACTGTATGGAAAGTACTGTCAAAGTTACGGAAGAGAATCCTGATAAAGAAAATTGTTATCTCTCTGTCTCTGTCTCTGTGTGCGTGTGAGAGAATCAACTTTTATACTTTGTAGTTATGTTTTTTGCAGTGTAAGAGCTATACACAGATTTTGAACTACAAAAGGGTCCAGCGCACCCAACCCAGCATTGCTGAAGTATACATACTTGAGTAGCATATACAAACATAGAAAGAAGCAAGAAGCAAACAATATACAAATTCCATATTATATGTGCAGAAGTACTTAACCATAGTGCCACAAAATAATCTCTCATATTCTTACACACAAAAATACCTTATTCACTTCTGGTGCCAAAATTTCTATTTTTCGCAACCGCTGAAAGGCGTCATAATCTGTTTCTCCAAATAGCCGGACAGGCTCCCCCCTTTCTCTCAGTCTCCTAATGACCTACAAGAAGATACCAAAGAGCTTCAACTTGCATAACATCCAGAAAAAAGGACAGGCAAGTCCATCCACATGCCTAGCACAAAGCCGGATTAGAGGAGGAAATCCCATATTATTAAATAATAACAAACCCATTCCTTTCAAAGCCATCCTTGTACAAAGTTCACAGACTATTTCTACTCAAGCACTCATCTTGCTCATTTTTGCTAAACATACTGTTAGCATCTGCCCTAAATTATCCTACTTTCTGAAGGGCACAGAATAGCCAGTAATATGCCCAGTAACGATATCTGACATCTGTTTAAGTGTCAGGGACCAGCCATAATTTGAAGTTACTGTACCTCTCCAGGAGCCTATAACATGCCTGAATAAGTTATTTGCTGAAGAATGAGAATACTCCAACACACTAGTAGAAAGAACGATTAACATTTTGAATGCTTGCCACACACAGTGGTCGAAATCCTGTTGGCTGAACTATGCAGTGCAACTTGGGTGATGAAAGGATTCCCTTTATCTCAGGAAAGTCTTTGGGAACTATGGGGTTATAGATCAATTTAAAGTCTGAAAATCACTCTTGCTAGTCCCAGTACCAAAGGCTTCCTAAGGATGAAGGGGATTCCATAGGAAACTAGGAAGCTACTAACTGCTGATGACATCATCCAAACTGTTTGTCTCAAGTTGCACAACAGGATTTTAGACATAGAATAGGAAGGGAAGTTACTCCAAGAAGGTAACAGGAGGGTGGGAATTCTTATCTGCAATTAGCATCAAGCCATTGATATGCCTGCAACAGCAGCAGGCAGTTTAAAGGCTGTCTGGAAATCAAAGGAACTCTTGTGGAATTTTGGCTGCTTTTAGGAACAATGTCCTACTAAGCAGCTTCAAATATGTAGCTAGCTAGTGTTCTTATGTCTTGAATGACTTCACCATTGTTGAATAAGTAAACTTTGCACATTAAGAAATCCAAATAACCAACAACACACTGATAGGCAAATGGTGATACAGCAACCCATATACTGCCAGTACCAGATATTCATCTTTACCTCTTGTCTAGAAAGAGTCATGGGTAACTTCTCCTCTGCCAACTCGAGTTCCAACACAGGATTTGATGAAGTTATTGCCTTCTTCTCCTCCTCTTCCTCCTCTTGCTGTATCTAAGTTGTTTAGGAGCATAACATAACCCAGTTTTCAATGGACACACACAAAAATTGAACTCACAGGATCTGGATGTCTTTTAAGAGCAGATAAATCACACAAGCATAGCTGACGTGCATAAACTGATGGAAATCTCTAAAGGAGCTGGGACTATCATTGGTAACAAAGTAACCACTTAGAAACCCTATACAGTTTAGAATGCAGAATTTAGGAAGAACGGTACTATGCTTTCTGCTCATAGTAGGTACATAAAAGTAGCAGGTCCACGGCCTCAGTTTGGATTTGGGGGCAAACTAAACATAACACAGCTTGCCAATCCACGCGATAGCAAACTATAGCACTATACAGCCATTTGCCTCTGGGTGTGAAGGTTTAAATCTATCATGGGTATGAATAGTGACATTAGAGAGATCCACTCAACAAGCATGAAAGGGCAGTAGGTACAATTGGTTGAAAATGCTTACAGAGCTGCCATGATCAGGAATCCTGATAAACCAGGATTCATGATTAGTTGGGTCCTTTTCACAGCACAGCATGTGAATATCTGATTTGTAGGTAGTGCTAGCATTTATGGGCTGAGCTTACATGCACACCCACATCCCCACTACAAATTTAGCCCTTCCCACATGCTGGCAAATGCCTGAATAAGGTTCAGAGGGAGAACCATAGTACATAACAGAAGGCAGTCCATGCTCGCCATTACATACAAACTGAGCTGCTCCATTAATTTCTGCTTTTACTAGTCTCTGAAAGAATAGCATCCTCACACCAGCCATTCCTGTCTATCAAATACAGGTGATAAATTCATCTGCCTGGACAAAACATCACTTGGGAAGACACTTATTCCTCAGCAAAAGCTCCAAGCAAATATGCTGCGCATATTACAGTCAT